GCTACTCGGGAGGCTGAGGCTGGAGGATCACAAGTTCAAGACTAGTTTGAGCGACAGAGTAAGTCCAAGACCAACCTCAGCAACAGAGTGAGGTTGTGTCTCTCCAAATAAGAAGTTTAAAGAGGGCTACAGATGGGCTTCACAACAGAGCAGCAGCCTACCCTGCATAAGGCTCTGGGGTCAGTCACTTGCACTGGATAAAAGAGATCCTAAGTCACTTGCCCAAGAGCTGGGGGTCACTTTGAAGGCCAGGCTGTGGGTGCCCCATGAATTTCCCACTTTTTTTTTTTTTTTTTTTTGAGACCAGGTCTCACTGCATAGTCTTGGCTGTCTTAGAACTTGCTATGTTGACCAGGCTGGCCTTGAACTCACAGAGATCTACCTGCCTCTAGCTTGAGTGTAGGGATTAAAGGCATGCACCAGTATACCCAGCATGAAGTTCCCACTTAAAGTTAAACCAGGCCATTTGATTAGCAGTTTGCGTTTGTCTTGCGTGGTATGCAAGATAACAGAAAATATTGATACAGTTGTTGAACCTGAGAAGAATTGAGGACTGAAAAGTGAATTCTCAGACAGGTATATTCAGAGGCAGCCAGCCATTCTGGAAATCACATTCTCTCTCAAGTTCATTCCTTCTGCTTCTACTGTAAACCTGAGCCTCATCATCATGTTCTCTAGGAAGCTCTCCTCCTTCCACACCTGGGAGAGAGGGCCTTGCTGGGTATTTCTCAGGTCCCTGTATCTGGGAGTTGCACTTGCTTGTTTACTGAATAAGCTTGATGAGATCAGAGCTGTGTCTACCCTTTCCACCCACACATGCCCAGAACAGTGCCTGCCAGATATGAATACTCAGTCATGGCTGACAGGGAGAGTGGGGCCAGTGGAAGAGGCTTTTGTCGGAGTTCTAAATGGCATCATGGTGTTGGAATAAGAAAGGCAGAGGGAGGGGAGCCTGAGAGACCCACATGAGTTAACAGTCTAATCTTGGGTATATGGATTAATGTGGGAGGTGTATTTTTGGACCACAGTATCTTCTTCATAGGGTAGCCATGGGCATCCCATGAAATAATGGCCCAGGATCTCATGCTTTCCTCCATACCCTTTGCCACAAGAACTCATCTGCTTCATAATTGACATCTGAGAGCTGAAAACTGCCCTTTCCATGCCAGCCCAGACTCACTTGCTGGACTCCAGACCCACACCAAACACATGTTTCTCGTGGATAAATGATGCATTTGGGTAGTCCAGCCCCACACAGTCTCTCCACTGTTAAAATGCCCATACCATCCACCTAATCATTTTACAAATTGAATTGAATTTTACATGGTGCACAGCTAAGCACTTTGAAGTGCGTGGCTGAGTGGCATTTAGCAGCTTCATACTGTAGACGACCACTCTCTCTACCTAGTTTTAAGGTCTCACTGTTGCTCCAAAGGGAACCCTTTAGGTATCTGCTCTCAGGCCCCATTCCTGCTTCTCCTCAGCCTGTGACAAACGATGATTCCTTCCAGGATTTACATATATGAGTAATGGCATTGTGCTGCATTTGGCTTCTAATGCCCACACTCTGTGTGTGTGCAAGATTCTGTTTGTACACTCGCCCACTAGCGCATGAACAGAGGCCATAGGTCAACAGCGGGATGTCTTTCTCTATCACTTCCCACCTTATTTTTTGAGACAGGCCCTCACTGAGCCTGAAGCTCATTGTTTCTGATAGGCTGCCTAGCCAGCAAGCTCCTGGTCTCTACCCACTAGTGCTGGGTTATAGGTGCGTGCCACCACACTCAGCCGTTTTACATGGGTGAACTCAGCTCCTCATGCTTATACAGAGACCACTGCACCCACTAAACCATATCCACAGCCCTATGTCTGCCCTCATTTATTTATATTTTTGTAACTTTTACAAGGTCCATTTACAGTGTGGCATGCATTATTAGTACTTTGTTTCGTGACTAATAGTTTATTGTGTGCACATGTCACATTTTGTTCATCCATTCACCCTGTGATAGACATCATTCATTCATCCAATCATAAACCATAAGTGTGACACTCACCTCTGACCCTTCTCTTTTCTGTACACCTCCAATCTAGTGTAGCCCCAAATCCTATCCGTTCTGTGCCCAAAATACAGTTCAAATCCTTTTGCTCTTTCCCTCGGCTTACACAAGACATCCATATCTCGCTCACCTAACTTCTAGCTGGTGTCAGTACTTCATTATCCTCTCTAGTAGTAGTTCCTGGGACATTTTTTAAACATAAGCTAGGTCATCTATTCATTTTACTATAGTAACTGGGCCTTTCTTTACAGAGTTTACCTCCTTGAGGCAAGGCAAAAAAAAAAAAAAAAAAAAAAAAAAAAAACAAAAACCAACAAACACATAGCATTGTATCAGGTCATTACTCAGGTTTAAACCCCTCACTGACTTCACTGCACTTTGGGTAAAATCTGAGCTCAGCATGCCTCCAAGGCTTAGCAACTTCAAATGCATCTCAAGTGGCTTGAAGCACTCCTTGAGTTATGTTTCCGCCACAGTGGGCCGCGTTCCTCCACTTCATGGTCCATAGGCAAGCTATTTTTTATGCTTCCTGATCTTAGCATTTCTGAGTACTGGGTATCAGCATAAATTGTGTACACACACACACACACACACACACACACACACACACACACACACACACAGAGTGACCTTCCATGGTGATCCTGTGAAGCAAATCCACCATTCATTTTATTCTTCAGGAAATGTGTGCTGGGATGTGGGCATAGCTCAGTGGTAGGGTGTGTGGCTAGCATGGATGAATCCCTGGGTTCAGTCTTCATACCCCAACTATCCACACATACATGTAGTGAAGACATATATGCTTAACACTGCTGGGTCCTGGGATAAAACATCTTTCTATTTCCTGCAGCCTGTGGTGTAGTGATGAAGACCAACATAGGGAAGAGAATACAAATTAAAAGCGCTGTTAAGGGAGAGGAAAGGGCAGGTATCTGTTTCACATAAGATAGTCTTTCCAAGGAGGCTGCATTGAACTACAAAGCATGAAGAATCACTCAAGCAAAGAGCCCAATTTTCCTCTCTCATCTCCTGACTGTACTAAGCTGTGGTCTGGCCTTCAACATTTTCTTTTGAAGGATTCAAGTGTGCAATGCCTATCACCCTCTCTCTCTTAGCAGACAGAGCTGTACCTCCCTGCCTGGGACAGCCCCTGCTGTGTGGATGGCTCTCCAAACAGACTGATTGGAGTCCTAAGTGGTTGAATCAATAGTGACTCATCAATGAAAGCATTTCCTGAAGTTTAACGAGTGACATGCTGTGACAGATACTGTCACTGTTATCCTAATAGGGACTCTATTAGGCTTGAGAAACACTGAGATGACTGTGAATCAAGAATAAAAGTGTGTAACTTTGAGTATTGTGGGACAACCAGGAGAGGATACACATACAAAGCAAGCACTCAGCAGGAGTCCACAGTCATTGGGGACTCTAGGATACTAGCAGAGGTGCCTCATAGTAATAAAAACTCAAGCCCAACATTTACTTTCACAGGTAGTAAAGAAAGTCAAAGGTCAGAGCAACACTTTCTAAGTGACCTCTATGTATAAGGCTGGTCCAAAGCCATTGAATGACAAAGAGAATCGATGCCATGGGGAAAGTCTCATGTTCTCCTCCAAGACCAAGATGCTTGTTACTCCCTAATTTCCAGCAGCCAAGGGTGTTGACTGCTCATAGCTCACATGTAAGCCCCTATTTAGAAACTCTTTGGTGAAAGGAACAACTAAAGTAGTGCTCCCTTCTTGGGAGCATTCTGCACCCACTGGTTGGTCAGTCAAAAGCCTCAGTGGATGGCTTGAGCCCCCCCATTTCTCCTTCATCCAGTCTGCCTGTGCCTGGTTCTATTACCCCAGCTGTGTACCCACTCAACAGTAAAACAACTTACTTCTCAAGGACTCAAGGACCCTTCTATACAGAAATCTTAGCATCTGTTCCTGGTCCACTCCTGTTGCTGTGATAAAATCACAAAGCAACTTAGGGAAGAAAGGGTTTATTTTAGCTCTTAAGTCCAGACTACAGCCCATTTTGGGGGCACGTCAAGGTGGCAGGAGCTTAAGGGAGCTAGTCAAGCCACAGGCAGAGAAAGAATAAATGCATGCCTACTGTTCAGCTCAATTCTGCCACACTTCACACAGTCCAGAACTGGATCCCAGAGAAGAGCACTGCCCACCATGGGCTGAGTCTGCCCATCAACCTACTTACTGATAAAGACAATGCCCGACAGACATGCTCACAGGCCAATCAGATCTAGACAATCAATCCTTCATTGAGACTTTCTTTCCAGGTAATTCTGGTTGTGGCAAATTAACAATTAAAAGTAACTAGCATAACATCTCTGACCTTTCAACCAAAGAACCTTGCCTGTGACAACTTAGGCAACAATGATGTCCTCTCTCTCTCTCTCTCTCTCTCTCTCTCTCTCTCTCTCACACACACACACACACACACAAACACACACACACACACACACACACACACACACACACACACACACACACACTGGGGGGGGGGAGTTCAAATGCCGATAATGTCTTCAAGGCAAATAGATAAATAAAGTGGCCCTATGGTCTCACTTCCTGTGAGTCTTTGTTGCTGCTGCTATACCAGCCTCTATATGGCTTTGCTCCAACAATAGCCCCTGGGCCTTGGCAGATAGAAAGGCAAGCCCAGGTAAGGCAGAAGTCTGTACATAGGACCCAGAGATCAGAAGGAGAGCACAGGTACTCTATGTAACCCCCCAAGGGCAATCACTGATGACAAGATAGAGGTCGCAACCTCCAAAAACAATATACAATTGCATGCAAGTTCAGAAGCAAGCATCACATGGCAGATCTCCCTGCCTGAATCCATGCCCTGAAGCAGGTGCAGGGCTCCTGGCCAGTCAGCCTTAAGGGGCTAGAGTCTTTGTAGCCAAGTTGCTCGAACAAACAGCATTTTACAACTTACCAGCTAGTGGATGCCAGTCCCCAACACTGCCCACGGAACCGGCAAAGTGGCCCCGGGACCGACTGAATTCTTCCTCCTACATCTGAGGACAAACTTGTAAGGCTGCATCTTCAGACTTGTGCACATTTCAAGAAGCCCTTCCACCTCGCAGTTTATTTCCCACCCACAAGTCCCGGTCCTACTGAGTAATCTGCTGTTTGATTAGCTGAGGTTCTGGCCTCCTTCGCTTCTTTCATCTGCACATAAGAAAATCTACCTGAAATTCGTGCGGTCCCTGACGCCCCCGCCTCCACAGTTTTCAGGCTGGCAAATTCCAATCTCTGCAAGTCTGCACTGAATAGCGACCTCCGAGCCTTCCTGGCCGCATCACGATCTACCCATCTAGTGCCCCATGCACTACACCACACTGGAACCCCTCCTCTCATCCCTGTAAGCCCCCATGAACTCCCGAGACTCCCTTCAGGCAGCTAGAGCTGAGCACAATGTTTGGCACTCAGCCAAGTAAGTCGTGAATAAATAACCGGGACGCTCTGTCAGTATTCGTCTCTATTCCTAGCCTGGCCAAGGGAAACCCTCCGAGGTTTCTTCCTGTGCCCCCAGGTTAGCTGGAAATAGGAGATTGCACGACAGATCTGAGCCCCAGACCCAAGGCAACAGGTCGTGAGGGAACTGCAGACATAAGGCAGGTGGTGGAATCCAACGCTGAGCACCGGCATCTGTAGCGGTTCTCAGCTTCCCGGAGCAAGCTCTTCCCCAGGAGACATTTGGATGTTGGGTGGAAACCTCAGAAGCCATAGCCTTGGGAGCCCCGGGCTCTGGTGCCACACGGGGACTGGAGCCAGGGCCCGGCAGCAGCAGCCTGGGAAGGGAGGGTGGCGCTCCGGGCCCATGGCTCACCCGCATCCCGCCAAACGGAGAGGGAGCTTCTGGGGACACAGCACCACGGGAGGACGCCCCAGCGGCTCGGACTCGGGGTGGATGCTCCCTATGGCCAGAAACCCTGCAAAGTCGACTTTGCTGTGGCTTACCGTGCCAGCTACGGTGGCCGGTGGGTACCTCGGACCGGCGCCGCCAGCTACAAGATCCGCGGACGCGCTGCAGCCGGGGCGCTCTGCCTCTGCCCCGCACAGTGCGCGAGCGCCTCCGCCGGGCGGCCAGGCTTCCCCGCGCTGCGGAGCCCATTGGCTGGGGCAACAAGGCTCCGCACCCGGGCCCGCCCCTCCCGCCGCTCCTCCCCCTCCCCATCGGCTTTCCCTCGCCAGCCAGGTAGGGAAAGTTGCTGCAGCAAGCAAGCCAGTGCTCTTGCTGGCCTCCAGTGGCCAAATGAGGCGATCTTTCTCCATCCCAGGAGGGGTGAGATGCCCCTCAGGGAGTGCGAATAGTGCAGTTCAGTATCCTAGGGAGGCAGCTTTGAGAAAGTCACCTGACCTCCCTGGGCCTCAGGAGGAACTGCTGAGAGGCCAGGCAGTCACTTGTCAGCAAATGTCACAGATCACAAGCACAAGGAACAGAAGGGAGCTAGGCTCTTACTTGGCGTGGGGGTGGCACGGGAGTTAGTTACACACAAGGACACAAACAAAAGGCAACGTTAGCTTGCTGTAAGCTGAGAGGGGTGTGTAGTAAGAACACGAAAGGATGTCACTATATGCCAGGACGGCCTACGGAGGCGATTGGTGAGATGTGAATTAATACTATTATGTTAAAAGTAATTCCAGATAGAAAAGGCAACCAGGGAAATCTCAGTCCTCCAAACTGGCACAGACTGGGAGAGCATTTGGCAGGTTTTTGAGTCCTGTGTCATTTCTATGCCTCAGTTTCCTTCAGAAGGTCAAAGCAGAACTCCCCAAGACTCCTCTCACCTGCAATATTTTGTTTATTTTTAGAGACACGGTCTCACTCTGTCGTTCTGGCAGGCCTGGAGCTTGCTGTGTAAACCAGGCTGGCCTCTAACTCACAGAGATCCACCTGCCTCTGTCTCTGAGGGCTTTAAAGGCATGTGCCACCACACTCAGCTCTAACTGTATTATCTAGACCTATAGCTTAATTATGTTTTAAAAGATTACTAGTGCTCAAGATGCATAGGAAAATGCTGTGGAAAAATAGAAGGGGAATTCTTTTCTTTTGACTTTTATTATTAAGAAATTTTCTATTCATTTTACATACCAACCACTGATCCCCCTCTCCTCCCTCCTCCCGCCCCCCAGCCTTTCCCCCCAACTCAGTCCCACATTCTCACCTCCTCCCTGGCAAGGTCTCCCATGGGGAATCATCAGAGCCTGGTACATTCATTTGAGGCAGGTCCAGGCCTCTCCCCCTGCACCAAGGCTGCACCTAGTGTCCTACCATAGGCACTGGGCTCCAAAAAGCCCACTCATGTACCAGGGACGAATACTGATCCCACTGCCTGGGGGCCCCCTAACCAGTTCAAGCTAATCAACTGTCTCGCCTATCCAGAGGGCTTAGTCCAGTCCCATGGGGGCTCCACAGTTATTGGTCCACAGTTCATGTGTTCCCACTAGTTTGGCTGGCCTCTCTGTACATTTTCCCATCATAATCTCGATGCCCTTTGCTCATAGATTCCCTCCTTTCTCTCATCCATTGGACTCCTGGAGCTTGGCCTGGTGTCAGGCCGTGGATCTCTACATCTGCTTCCATCACTCAGTGGATGAAGGCTCTGTGATGACAGTTAGGGTATTCACTGATCTCATCACCTGAGTAGGCCAGTTCAGGTACCCTCTCGAAGACTGCCAGTAGTGAAGGAAGATTCTTGACTGGATAGGTAAATTTAAAGAACCTTACATTTCTAAGGAGACAAGGAGTGGGGTAGAGGTTTAGATGAGAAGCAAGGCAAATTACTGCACAAATATTCATGTTTTATTGCACTATAAATAAGAAAAGGTGAAAATTAGATGCAGGAGAATGTGATGGTTTTCATTGAAAATTTAATGTGTGGTAGCCAGTATTGGGTAGCTATCAACAAGGGTTTTACATTAATGATATTCTTCCATTATGCATTGGAGGTCAATGGCACCTAGCATTATTTATTTTTATGTACTAAACTCAAATAATGAAAAGGGCTTGAAAACGTAGTCACCCTCAGAAGGGGCAATCCCTTTGCCCCTACTATCTTTACTTGAGATGGTGTTTAAATTTGGAGAAACAGCATACGATTTCATAAATCACTGGGTTTTGTCTTGGAGGATGCACAAGGACTTGGGAGACAGAAGATGCTAAGTCATTAAGTAATGCTTCTGAACCTTTGTCAGCAGCAAAATGAGCAGTAGCTAAAAGATTGCTTTCTAGAAAAATGCCTGTTATTTTTACTTCCATATATTTAAAAATGTTTTTTTGTTTTTAATTATATGTATGTACGTGTGGGTTCAGGCACATGAATGCCAGCAGAGGCCAGAGTCAGGGGGTTCCCTGGAGCTGGAGTTACAGGCTGCTATAAGCCACTCCACTTGGGTGCTGAAAACTGAACTCAGGACCTCTGCAAGAGCAGTACATGCTCTTAACCACTGAGGTGTATCTCCAGCCCCTGTACCTCCACATCTTGAGGGGAGGGCTAATTTTCACTCTGTGAAAGCCTGGCAATCCCTCAGGATAGAACCCTCACAGATTGTTTCACCTACCATTCACCCCCAATCCTTGGAGCATAATGGTAGTTCAATCTATCGGATGCTCATCCCTGAGACTTTGCCTCCCCAGAAAAAGTGGCAAAAGGAGGCAAGAGACTAGACAGGACATGGCTCGGGATGATGGGGACAGCAAGAGCATGCTAAAGAGACTGGACTTCATGGTCATGAATCACAGTGGCCAGCCTCAGTGCTTCCTTGATTTCTGACTGTCTCTCAAGTTTCATCCTTCTGGCCACCCCTGTCCCTCACCCTTCCATTTTTCCTCTGTGAATCTCCATCTCTGCTACACTTTCTTACATGAGTCACCCAGTTATTTCTGTTGCTTTGAACCAAGACCCTGATGGATTCAGGAAGGAAAAATTGCCTCATAGAACAGCAAAGGAACAGTTTAGCACACGAATCTGCATACAAGCAAATGCCTACATGGTGACAGGTGTACACATTCCTTCATTACTCCATAAGAAATCACACCCCACAAGGTGGTGATAGTAGTAGCATTTGAAAATGATATTTATATTTGAAAAGAACCCAGATACACTATTCTTAGCAGGTCTAAAAAAAAGTGAGCAAGTTCTTATTATAACAAGCTATCCTAGACATAAGCCCTCTCCTGTAAAGTTTATAGCTTGCAAGTATTTCACATTTCATATGCACAGATTGTAATTGACAGAGCTATGGATGGAGCCTGGGTCCTAACTCAGAACAGTTCAGGATTTACTGGGCTATAGCTTGGATTTGCTTGCCGGCAAGGGTAGAATTGTTCTGTTGTCTGTGCATGGGGATATATTTTAAGGTGATTGGAAAGTTTTATTTTTCAATATTTCCTTCTAGCTACTTGAAATGATGCTTAAGATCCACATCATTAAAGATGAATTGTGGGATAGGGAGATGGCTCAATGGGTAGAGCGTTTGCTGTGCCAGCACGAGAACCCAAATTTGCATTCTCAGAACTCACATAAAAAGTCAGGTTTGGAAGCACACCTGTCATGACAGTGCTCCTAAGGGAAGGTGAGAGGAAAAGACAGGAGAACCTGCAGAATCTGGCCTGCTGTGTGCACCAGCCAACCACAAAGGGACCATGCTCAAACAAGGCAGGAGGCAAAGATGGACCTGAGGTTATCCTCTGACCTCCACATGGACACCACAACACACACATGGCACTGTGAGCCCACACACAGTCACACAGAGTTAAAAAGAGACAAATTGCTAGGCTTGGAAAACAAGGTCGGGAACAAACATGATCAGGATGCTGAGGGGGTAAACGCCGCTTTAGCAGTTGGAGGGATGAAGAAACAAGGGGCTCTGGAGTCTGTTCAAAGAGGATCAATGGTGCGAGAACTTTTCAATTCCATCTACTCCCATGCGTCTTCACCTGGAGAGGTGGTTGGAATTCGTTTCACCTATGAACCCTGGAAATAGGAGGAGAGAACAAAGAACTGCAGCTTGTGTGCTTCTTTTCTTGACTTTCAGAGTCAAGGCTCAGTGATGCCATGCCCGAGTCTAGGGATGAGGCAGATTATGAGCTGAAGACTTGGGGAGGCTTTCTGCTAACTTGTGTGCATTGTGGAGTATTTCTGCTGACATTGCAAAGAATTGCCATGGCAACCAGTGAAATAAGTTTCCCAGTTCTTGCTGTCTCCCTCAAAGGAGGCAGATGCCAGTGGGTGTTCCTCTATCATTAAGGGTGTGTGGAAGTTTCAGCTGATCGTGTCACTCTCAAGGTGCCACTCAGAAGCAGTTCCAGTGAGGCAGAAAGAGGGCCAAGTCCTGTGGGATGGGGGATGAAAACACCCTTACTGTTATTCATTGTGATGGGTGGCTGTACATTCCAAAACCCTACCAGGTTAAAATGCAAGATGCATGGACTCCTCAACGCCTTTCATCAGACTCACCAGCCAGAAGGGGCGGGGCCAGGATATCAGCAAGTAGATAGTGTATCACTGTCAGTCATTTTTTTGTGGCTGTGAAGAGACACCATGACCAAGGCAACTTATAGAAGAAAGAGTTTTTTGGGGGATTACAATTCCATAGGCCGTCATGGTGAGGAGCATGGCAGCAGAAAGGCAGGAAGGGATGGTAGTGGAGCCCTTAAATCGTACGCACAAGTGGGAGGGAAAGAGATCTAACTGGGAGTGGTGTGAGCTTTTGAAACTTAAAAAGCCCACCTCCCGGGACATGCTGCCTCAAATAAGGCCACATG